AAGGTGTACCTGAGCTCCGATAGTATGTGTAGGGACGAGCGAACAACGGATCGGAGGATAATGCAAAAATCTATTCGACTGAATTTCTCAACACAATAAGTTGCTCGGGGGTTCCTTCTCATGTATTGAAGTCCAAGGTCGGTGCACCAGTTATGTTATAAGAAACATCGATCAAGCAGAGGATTGTGCAACGGGACCAGACTTCAAATTACTATAATCGGCATTCACGTTCTGCATTGTAAACTTCTTTCCGGTAAAAATATCGGTGACATTGTGTTCATTCATCAGATGAGTTTAATACCATCTAACTTCGGATTGTCAATTAAATTTCAGAGAAGACAATTTTCGTTGATTGTTTCTTTTGCAATGACGATCAACAAAAGCCAAGGCCAAACTCTTTCGCGTGTTGGTTTGTATCTTCCTCGGCCTGTCTTCAGCCATGATCAACTATATATTACACTGTCCAGAGTTAAGAGGAGAGGTGACATTAAGATAGTCATCAAGTGGGATTCGGGCGAACTCACCGATGTTACTAAAAATGCTGTGTACAAGGAAGTATTTCATCGAATTTGCAGGTTGAATATAGTTTTATATTTATGAGTTCTTCATGTAACATGTCTTGGTTTTTATTTATCTTTTAACACCTTACTCTTTGGCAGGTCTATCTTTCCTATATGTTTTCCCCCATGCGATGTTATTTTCAGTCATGTCCCTAAGATGCTCAGCGCAAATCTTATTATCTTTAAGATTTATGTTTGTCGATATACTAATATTTAATATTATTGTTACATTGTAACTATGAAGAACATGTTACTGATAACATATTTTTAATATTGTTAGTCGATAACGTTTTGTACTTAAATTAATGAGCGTAATAATTGATATCTATGTAAATTTGTTTTACAGACATGTATTTCCAGTTGAAAATATGCCGGCCCGTGCATCGCACGGGTGAATACTAGTATAAGAGCATAGACAATGCTCATCCCTAAAACCCCTCCCCAAAATGTGGATCTCACATGCCACCTACACATTTAAATCCCTCTTTAAACAATGGGTCCCACTTAAACACTCCCCAAACTTCAATTTACTCCAATGGCTTGATTTTTGTTCCTCCGTAAAATGTCCCCAACTATTAAATTCTAATAAAATATTCATTATATATATAATAATTATGAAATTATATTTTTAATTTTGTTTTATATTTATTTGGTAAAATATATAACTATCATCAATTTATATTAATTTTTGAATGAAACTATTTTAATTAATTATAAATTAATAAAATAAATATTCACAAATAACATAAAATTATTTTGTAGTACAATAAAATAGAAAAGAAATTTATGGATGTAATACATTTTTTTATTTACAAAATAATAGCTATAAATGGTTTCATAAATTATAAAAACAAAGAAAACAAAAGGAACCGAAGTAACAGTACAAAACGTAGGAAAATTTAAATAAATCACATGACCCCACAATGCTTTGTTAAGTGACTCCTATCTGTGAGGAGTTAGTTGGAATTTTTCAAAATTTAGGGAGCCATAAAGAGGCCTAAAATTTCCCTCCCTTCCTCTTCAAAATTTAAAGATGGCCCAAAATCTGACACAAATAATGTGTTTCAAGGGCCCATTGTAGATGCTCTAATCTCATTTCACCATCAAATTTTTAAATATGTAAAATAATGCCATATAAATGTCCTAAAAGCCCTTACTACTAATTTATTTACACGACCAATTTAATCCACCACCATCGGTTTCATCTTGTTCATTATTTTTATTTTCTTTCGGAAGATTCACTACGAAAACATTTGTACATTAAAAAGGGAAAAAAAAAATCAATACTGTCAAGATAAATAATGTTTAAGTTAACCCTAATCCTCTCCTCTATATACCATAAAAACTCTTACATTCAATGAGTCGACTCACATAATCAACATAAATTTCACATGTATAAGACATTGAAAGGAGGGAAGTGACAATTTTCCAATTTCACTACTCACGTGCGTTAAAAAAAATTAAAATTAAAAAAATTAGAAAAGAAGACAGGATGAATTTTGAGGTTTGTTAGCCTATGTTTCCTCATTTTCTCGTAATATTTGTTCTTCGTTTCTCGCACTTTGGATTTTCTATAAAACTATTGCCCTAAATTTGTTATCCAGAATCGAACTACGATTGTTTTCAAATGGAATGAAAACTGATAATGTTTTTGTTTTTGATTTAACTGTTGCTAATGGAAATATAGATGTTTGTGACGGGGTGTTTTGGAAAAACAGAACGAAATAAATGAGAAGATGAAATGAGTAATGTGATGGGAGTGGATTATAATTAGTGATGTAAGGGTAATTATGATATTTTATATTATTTTATTTTATTTTTTTCATATTTGGTGGTGAAATGAGACAATTTGAGGGTGGAAATAGCACCTCTCTAATATTATTGCATGAGATAATAATATTATGGTCGAAGATAATAATATTATGGTCGAAGACAGTATGGTCATAGTCGGAGATAGTAATACTATGGTAAAAAACAACAAAATTGCAGCAGGGCAGGACGATAAAATTAATTAATACAGTAATTTTACTATTTCCGAGACAGTACTATTACAGACCAAAATAGTAATATTAATGAAAATATTTTTCCTTAAGAAAAAAAAAATCAACGTCAGGGACCAGAAGGTTGACCTGCTCTTGTCATGGACTTATTTGTCATTTAGCCATATTTTTTCCAAGGGAAAATTAGAGAAAACCCCCCTATCTAGGAAAATGAGTTAAAGAAACACCCTCTCCTAAAAAATAATAAGAGAAAACTCCCTTAACTAATATTCCACCCAAGTGATATTTTCATAATTCCAAAACTACCCAATTAATTGTCTACTATATACTCTTTCAAAACCCTAATCTTATTTTCTCTTCTCTCCCTCCTCTTCTTCTCCAGTCTCTTCTCTGTTTTTTTCCCTCTCTATTATACTTTTTTCGCTCAATTCTTTAGATTATTCTCTCTTGATCGGAAGATGAAGAACCAACCACCAACATCATCGCCAGAACAACGACGCCAATTCTGTTGAAGCCATTGTCGTTGTTACCGTCGTCGTCGCCGTCGGGGTCGTCGTCGTTGCAGATCGTAACAAAAGACACAAAGATGATGATGATTTTGATAGCGATTCTGAGTTCGAATGCCACGATTGCTACATCAAAGGCGAATAGAGGTAAAATTGTCGATTTATCGCCGGAACTGAATTTTGATGGGTGGTGGTTCTGATTTGGTTGGTGGTGCGAGTTGTGATTTTATTTATTTATCTGTAATAGAAAAACCGTCATAATATCAAAGTAAGGTGGTGATGGTGTGTTGTGGCGGCGGTGTGGTGACGATGGGGAGGCAAATTTAGGGTTTTTTGGTGGATTGGGAGGATGACGGCGCGTGTAGAGAATTTCGCGCATGCTGAAACCTTAATCGACTATGTACATGTTCATAGTCGATTAAGCTAATCGACTATGCTCTGGTAGTCGATTAAGGTTCATCGACTCCAATATTTTTTATTTTTTTGGATTTTTTTTTATTGATTCAAATTGTGTAAAGCATTTATAATGTATGTATATTTTTTGTTTTTGTAATATATAGTTGATTTTGCATTTTTTCGCAGCTCTGATTTGTTATTTTTAGTAGCAAATTCTTAATCGACTATGTTTCACATCATACTCGATTAATATGCTTCATTGATTCTATTTTATTTTTTATTTTTTGTTTATTGATCCCAATTGCATAAATCAATTATAATGTTTGTATATTGTTTGTTTTTGTAAAATATAGTTGAGTTTGCATTTTTGTAGTTGTGATTTGTTATTTTTAGTAGTCGGTTCCTTAAACGACTATAGTTCATCATAGTCGATTTAATATGCTTCATAGTCGATTAACATATTTGATAGCGAAAAAAAGTTTAAAAACGAAGAAAAAATATTTTTTTTTTAAAAAAAACTTTAAAAAAAAATTAGAAAATTAATTTTTTTAAAATAATAATAATAATAATAATAATAATAATAATAATAATAATAATAATAATAATAATAATAATAATAATAATAATAATAATAATAATAATAATAATAATAATAATAATAATAATAATAATAATAATAATAATAATAATAATAATAATAATAATAATAATAATAATAATATCAAAAACCAAAAAGAGAGAGAAAGACCCAGTCATATGATAGTGGACTGATGGGTCATGAAGATGTGTATGTGGCTGAAATTTGGAATAAGTTTTTCTCAAATGGTGCAAAATAGTTTGGACCTTTAGAAGTATTGAAGGGTTCTATCAAACATCCCCTATTTTCAAATAAGATATCTTACTAATTCCCTGTATTTATTTATAAGAAGAAATGCTAATTTTTATTTTTTATTTTTTATTTTTTATTATTATTTTTTTTCAATAAGAAAGAAGAAATGCTATTAATAGGTTAGGAAATAGCTAAATAGTATGTATGGGACATGCATTAATACTTGAGTTAATTTTTGTTAGGCCAAGTTGATAAAAAAAGCCGCCCCTACGTACACTTTTTTTTTGATAAGTAGCCCCTACGTACACTAAATTAAATTAATCTTAGATGGTGAATAAGAAAGGAATCGATGCCTAGGACGTAGGTTATCTTTTTTGGAGGGTAAACTTGGACGTATAAAATATCAATAGTATTAATGGTCAATTTGTTGTACATCCTTTTAAGTCTAATTTCTTTTCATATTAGAGATTTTATGTTTTCGCGTTCTACTAAAAGTTCACTCGACAGATGAAAAATAGATATTTTAGACCGAAAATAATTTTCTCCTCCATTTTATCCAGTATCAAAACCTCACATGCACTTCAGAAAATAATGTTTCTTCAACTACCCCCAATCACTCCTTAATGTTGATTTAATTTTGTTTTGTTACTATTTAAATTTTACGTTCGATTAACTTACTCTTGAACTAACACTAAAATTATGTATTTTTTACTATGTGTTTTATTTCACTCACAACTTTTGCATTACAACTTGAATTGCATTAATTCAGTTTGCATTAACAACTAGATGGCAAGTCCTTCACCGAATATAACATAGAATAAACCATCGTCATCTATCCCATCACTACAAATTCTATAAATACCGTTCGTTTATTTCGTCATCGAAGAATCACACTTATTCAAGACAACTTCCGCAATGGCTACCAAATATACATTGTTCTACAAACGCACTTTATCAGCTAGATTTTCTACACGCATATATCAACCGAGCAATACACTAACTAGAGCTTTAACTTTCAAAGTAACGAGGCAAAACCCAGAGCTAATCCCTCCAGCAAAGCCCACACCACATGAATTCAAACCTCTCTCCGATTTCGATAATCATGAAGGCCTTCGTTTCCAAGTTCCAGTCATACAATTCTACCGCAAAAATCCCTCCGTCAAATCGGACCCCGTTGAGGTTATCCGTAAAGCTATCGCTAAGGCATTGGTTTCCTACTACCCGTTTGCCGGGCGGCTAAGGGAACACGCCGCCAGGAAGCTGGCGGTGGAGTGCAACGGCGAGGGGGTGATGTTCATTGAGGCGGATGCTGATGTGGCGTTGGAGCAGTTTGGTGACGAACTTCAGCCCCCGGTGCCATGCTTTGAGGAGCTGCTTTATGACGCGCCTGGTTCCGGTGGAATCATCAATGCTCCGATACTGCTGATACAAGTATGTATTTGTAATATATATATATATATATATATATATATATATATATATATATATATATATATATATATATATGGTTGTTTATGTTGTGGTTCACGTTCCTTCGACCAAAGATAAAAAAAACAACAATATATTACTGTATTACACAATAATTTATTATTTAACATAGTGATTTTGTTGTTTAATATTATTGTTTCGACCAAAAATAAAAAAAAAACAACAATATATTACTGTATTACACAATAATTTATTATTTAACATAGTGATTTTGTTGTTTAATATTATTGTGTTAGATAGTAATATAACAATATTATTACTGTGTTAAATAGTAATTAGTTATAGTATTGTCAACCACAATATTGTTATTGGATTACTAGGGAAAAAAGGTTTTGAAAAAAAAAAATTGATTATAAAAAAAAGGGAAAATGAGGGATAACCCCCTCAATACACAAAATAATAGAGTCCAGGCCCATTTTAATATTTACCATTTGTAAAGAAATCTAAAATTAACATTAGGAATTGTGAGACCCCCCTCACGTGTTTATTATTCCAATTTTGTCCTTTCTTCCCCCACTCTTTCTCTCTCTCCCCCCCTCTCTTCTCAACCGTCCTTTTTGACGTGTTGTCATTTATTATTTTTCTTCTCTCTCCTCTCTCCTCTCTTCTCTCTCTTCCACAATTTCCTCTCTTCTCTCTCCTCTCTCCTCTATTCTCTCTCTTCTCTCTCTTCCACAATTTCCTCTCTTTTCTCTCCTCTCTCCTATCTTCTCTCTATTCTCTCTCTTCCACAATTTCCTCTCTTCTCTCTCCTCTCTCTCTCTCTTCTCTCTCTCTCCTTTCTCTTCCCTCATTTCCTCTATTCTCGTCTGTTTCATTTTTTCTCTTTAGTTTCTCTATATCTTCTCAATACTTTATCTTTTCTTCTACATCTCATCTCATTTTATAACACCATAGTATCTTAAATTGAAATATAATATAGTGAATTAATGGAAAACTATAGTTGATTACCAATTTTTTATAGTTGACATCGGAACAATTGTAGTTGACTATCCAATTTTTGTAGAACTCTGGCAACAATATAGTTAACTACCAATTTTTTATAGTTGACATCGTAAAAATTATAGTTAACTATCTAATTTTTATAGTTGACTCTGGAAAAAATATAGTGAACTATCCGATTTTATAGTTGACTCTGGCAACAATATAGTTAACTACCATTTTTTTATAGTTGACATCGTAAAAATTATAATTAACTATCTAATTTTTATAGTTGACTCTGGAAAAAATATAGTGAACTATCCGATTTTATAGTTAACTCTGAGTGTATGACCGTAATTTTTTAAGTTTTTCGACAACAATGATCTCTTCTTTGTTGTGGACTCTGATAAAACAAATTTCATACGAAACAAATATTTATGAGTCAACAAATAGTGCGACCATAGATATGTAGATCTAAAAAACAAGCTTGTTTACAAACTCCATTTTTGAATAATCAACCATTTTTGCAGTCTTCATAGTCGCTGAAATTGAAAAAAAAAAATGGAAATATGTCGTATTATGACATAAAACAGAGAAATCTAATTATATGTTGTAGGAAAAACGGATTTCATAGCAGCCTACCTTTATTCGATTTTTTTGATTTCACCATGTTTTTGTGTCTGCTTCTCCTCGATTCACACGTTTGTGAACTTTTTTCCAACAAATGAAGAAAACTAGGGTTCCACCGAAGGCCATAGATCATGGGTAGATTTTAGCGAATTATTGGGATGATATTCTACATATTGCCGTGATTTAGGGGGGAGAGATTTTTTTCCCATGAATATTTGATATGAATCCCGTAGTTTAGGTAGAGATGGTGGGGGGGCTGATTTCTAATACAAAATGTGAGGGTAGTATTGGTATGACACTAATGGAGGGGGTTTGACTTATTAAAAATAATGAGGGGTGGTTAGTTCTAATATTTTTCTTAATGAGGGGGTTTTGTCTCATTAACCCTAAAAAAAAAGGTCAACGTCGTCGGAGATCAGCGTTGACCACCGGTCAACGATTGGCTGATCAGCGGTCAACGACTGCGACACTTAAATTGGACCCAAAATTGAGTTAGGGATCAAAATTGAATAATTAATGAAACTGGAGTTAAATGTATGAAATTGAACTATATTAAAATTGAGAGGTATTTTAGACCTGATCTATTTTTGTAAAATAGTTTCTTGGTTGGACTAAGATGGGATTATTGGTAATAGCCAAAGAGATAAATCATACATTCATATTGCCATCTTATTACTTGAACATATGAGGCAATCCTTTTTGAATTCTTTTCTCGAATTGCCAATATTTTTCAATCTTAAAAACCTAAGCACGTGCAGGTCACGCGCCTGAAATGCGGCGGGTTCATCTTCTCCCTCCGCTTCAACCACACAATGAGCGATGGCGCAGGGATTGCCCAGTTCGTATCCGCCGTCGGGGAACTCGCCCGCGGCGCCGGAGTCCCTTCGACTCCCCCAGTTTGGGAAAGACACCTCCTCAACACGTCATGCACGCACCACGAGCACAAAGACATACCGGACATCCTAAAAACCCTCACCACGCTCAACGAAGTGGTGCGCCGTTCCTTCTCGTTCGGCACCGACCAGATCTCCGCCCTCCGCAGCCATCTCCCGCCGCACCTCCGCCATTGTACCACCACGTTTGAAATCCTGACAGCATGCCTCTGGCGGTGTCGTACAATCGCCCTCTCTCCGCACCCTGATGAAGAGGTTGGGATCCTATGGGCCATGGATTCCCGAAGACGGTTCAATCCACCAATCCCCGATGGGTACTACGGTAATTGTTGCATTCACCCCACAGCCATAACCACAAGTGAGAGCTTATCGAAAAACCCGTATCACTATGCAGTGGAGCTCTTGAGGAAGGCGAAACTCGATGCAATGGCGGATCCAATGATGATCAAACGTCTGTCCCGTTTTTCGTTTGTTGGGGGTTATGCAGTATCTGATGCAAGGCATTTGGGCTTCGAGGATGTGGATTTCGGGTGGGGAAAGGCCGTTTATGGAGGCGTGGCCAAAGGAAACATTGGTTTCGTTCCTGAGCTATTGAGTCTTTACTTGCCATGCAAAAATGACAAGGGTGAGAATGGAATAGTTGTTTCCATTTGTTTATCCGAAAACGCAATGGAAGTGTTCACGAAGGAGCTTGAAATGTTGGTGGAAAACAATGATAATAATCCAATGCTTGCATCAAAAAGCTAGAGATATATTTGTTAAGCCTTCCAAAATAAATTTCTCTTTTCATTTCGAAAACTTGTAATTGTTATGTTTTTCAATCTTACATATATTAAAGAGGTCATTTGAGATAAACCTTAAGATATATTACTTCAATAGCACTAGATCGAACCATCTTTCATTATTGTGATCAAAATGTTGATCGAGTGCAGAGGCTAAATGATAAATGCAGATGGCCAAAATGTTGATCGAGTGCAGTTTTGCTACTCTAATTTTAGATGGGTGTGGGATGGAGATTTTGTATTGTTTATGAGAGAATTATGTTGATGTGGAAATCGTCCGAATTTATGCTGAGTTAGCACTCTCACGGCCAAGTCAATTTCCGTCAAAAGGTTATATAAGGTTTAAGAAGGCGATAAATATATTATAGACGAGATACGAAAAGAGATGTGATTGGTTTCTTACCTTTGAGGTTTACTCACCTTCTTATTATAGGCGCTCCCACGGATTCCAAATAGTTTTTCGTTCAAATTTAACATTCGTATCATGCTATAGAATATCCCAGAAAATCAGGAATGTATTACTATAGTTTTAATTGTATTTCAATTTTAAATAAATTTTGATATATATTTTTAGTTTATGAGACATGAAAATCTTACCCATGCAACTGATCTGGAGAGAAAAGCCCCATGGTGAAGAAAACCAATTAAATAAATGGCAAATGGTAAAGAGGGACATGACAGGGGACTTAGATGCATATTGCTCCACAGAAAAAAAAAAAAAAACAGTTTTTCAAATAAACTCATCCCCATGTCTTTAGTGTAAAATATCCCCCATAATATATTTTTTTTTATCAATTCCATCCATTATACTCTAACTTCCTCAATATTATACATTGACCCCGGATTTAAACAAACATATTACATTAACCCTCATTTTAATAATTTTTTGAAAAAATATTTCTTTTTTAGAAAATAATTTTTTTTTCCCGCCAGATTCCGGCGTTGACCGGGCGGTTCTCCGACATTGATTTTTTTTTTTGAATTTTTTTTTTGAATTTTTTTTTCTGAATTTTTTTTTCAGACAGTTAACCGCCGTTGACCGCCAGTCTCCGGCGTTGACTTTCTCTTTTTAATTTTTTTTTAATTTTTATAGAAAAAAAATATTTTTATTAATATTACTTTCTTGGCTGTTAAATTACTGTCTCCGTTAGTTAAATTACTGTTAGAGACAGTAATTTAGCAGCCAAGACGGTAATATTAATTAAAATATTTTTTTTAAGAAAAAAAAAGTTAATTAACATTTAAAATACTGTCTCCGAAGTTAAATAACTGCTGGAGACAGTAATTTAACAGCCAAGACAGTAATATTAATTGAAATATTTTTTTTAATAAAAAATAAAATTAAAAATGAAAAAAAATCAACGCCGGAGACTCGACAGTCAACGGCGGTTGACCTGCCGGAAAAAAAAAAGTTTTCAAAAAAAAAAAAAAGTCAACGGCGGCTGACTAGCTGTTTCCGTTGGTGACATGTCAAAATTTGGGTCAAAATTGAAATTATGGTCGAAATTGGTTAATTGGTGAAATTGGGCTAAATTGTGGTTAAATCATGAAATTGAAGTTGAATTGGGTTCCAAGAAATTGAAGGTAATTTTCGTATATATAAAAAGGTTTTCCTTATTTGCAAATAAGTTTGAATGAGCTGGAAATATTTAAAAGACAAAAAAGTTGGATGTCCCTTTTTTAATTAAGTGTCCTTGCCCTGGGCCTCTTTGCCATTAACCCTTAAATAAAACCATGTTATAGCTCGATGAAATTCTAGGACTCCATATAAAATATTAGGACTATTATTTTATAAGATGTTTGTTAACAAATTTTGAATTTTTTAATCTTTCGGTTATTTTATAGTGTTTGGTTTCCTTAACATCAACTCAATTATTTTAAAATAACCGAATTACCCTTTCTTATTGTACCTAGTTTTGTTTTCTTCTTTTTAATATTTATAGGGGAAAGTACAGTTTGCACCCCTACGTGGTTGTCACAAACACCCCATTGAACTACAAAATATACCAAAACGACCCCTGTTATTTACGGTCAACGGTAACAAAACTAACACCGTTAGTTTTAATTTACATATACTTATTCGCCCTCATAATTTGCATATAAAATTTGGCCCAGTCAACAACCACTTCTCTTGTTCTCTCTCCACCAATCTTTATTTTTCATTTGTGGGCGATGCCTCTCTCTCTACTTCTACGCTCTTATTCTTGCTTATTCATTTCTGCCGACGGTGCCTCTCTCTCTACTTCCACGCTCTTATTCTTGCTTATTCATTTCAGCCGGCGGTGCCCCTCTCTCTCTCTACTTCCACCCCTTTGAAGCGCTCAACCACATCTCAGTCTTCACTCGAAATTAGCCAACTTAGCCTCGTTGTGAGCCCTCAAATGAGGAAATACTTAATCGTGTGGTCTCCGTCGGTGATCCCAACAATCCTGCCGCTGCCGCTGCAATAATATCTTCAATGATGAAGACCTCATACATGGACACTTTTCGTGAAAATTGTAAACATATATGTTATTAGTATTCACGTAATATAATAAAGAAAAAAAATTGCTATCAAAGAAATTTAAGATGAACATTTGATGTGAATTTTTTTTCCATTTTCTGAAGATAATACCAAAGCGAGTTGCGAAAGCTCAATTGGTATAAAAATCTAAGAAACATGAATATCAAGTGGATTACGAAATTTACACAATGGACATCTAATTAATATTCATTATGAAAATTAAGATGAGAAAGAAGACGCCAAACGTTAATTGATCGTCGGTGTGCTTTTGATTGCCGGTGAGTGGCAATTTAACCGCCATTAGTGCGACTATGCGAGAGAACACGTTTTTTTTCTTTTTCAAAGAACGAGAACGAAGTTGGCAAATAAAAGATGAGGACAAGTCAGACGTGAAGGGAGCTTTGATACATGAGGCGCCTTTGAATAAATGGGCTTAAGTGGAGTAAAAGTAAGTTTATTAAATAATGTAATTTGGTATTGCTGAAAAATAAAATAAAAATTATATATATATAAATAAATTAAAAAGTTTTGAATGTGGTGGGGATTGAGTCCACCAGAGCCCTTTGGGTGGACTCGCCCTTGGGCGTAGGTATTATTTTAAAAACATCTTATAAGTTTTCTAACAGCTTATTTTGGAAAAGAAAAAGATATTTTGTAATTGTTTTTACCAAACATCTTTTAACAGCTTATAAGCTCTTAAACATCTTATAAGATGTTTTTAGGAGCTTATAAACTTAACCAATGGACCCTAAGTAACTTTTTATATTTTAATAATTTATATATAATTTAATATAATATGTATTTGTGTGTTTAAAAGTGGAGAAAAAAATGAGACAAAGTGTGGAATAAATGAACAGAAAATAAGAAAACAAAAAACACAAAATAACCGTGGCTTTAAAAAGTATAATGATTATTTTCGATTTACCGAAAATAATCCTAGGGTTGCAAATATTTCTCAAAAATTGAATTAGGGTTTCGGGGCAAAACCTTTCTTTTATATACGAAGATAAGATGTAAAGGACATATGACTAAGTATTTTAATTAATACTTAATTTGGGATTTGGTTGGATAAGCTGTTATCTATTCTTATTTCAATTTAGGGGTATTATGCTAGGAGCTCTCAATACGAACTTAATTTGAAGTGGATGACAACCACAAATAAAATATTGGGTTTATTAGGGAAAATCCCCTTGTTCATATTTTCTAATGAGGTAGATCCAATTTTTTTTCTCCTTTTTGAGATACACCCAATTTTGCCAACTTGGCAAAATATATTATATAATTTCCCTTGAATACCCCTGTTTTATTATTAAACGCATTTATTTCCTTTAATACGTGATTTGAGATTTGCTGATACGTTGTCTAAAATCACGGAATAAATTTACGTGAGATCATTGGCCGTTATATCAAATCGTGTACAATATTTTTTGAAGATTCTCTTCATCGTTCCAGCGGGTTTTATCGTCATTGAAGATTTCTGCGCCGTCGTGGAAATAGGATCGATTTTTGAGCGTTTGTTGTTGGACGTTGTTAAGCGGGTATGAATGCGTTATTCGTTTTTATTTTTTGCTCAATGTCCATGATTGTCGTGTACGGTGGTTAGAAATTTTTAAGAGTTGTGTTGATACTTGATTCTATTAAGTAGAATGTTTTTTAACAAAATTATTCCGTCATGTATATATCGTTTTTTTTTGCCGATGATGTTTGTTTGGAAGAGGATTGACAGAGTTAGAAGAGGATGGTTCACGCAGATCGGACCAGAGTTGTTTTATATGAGCTTCGTAGTTGGTTTATGCAATAATCGGAATAATTGTCCGCTTTGGTCGAGTTCATGTTTTTATCCCGATCGATAGTTGGTTTATTTGTTTATAACAGCCGATTTAAGTGTGTTGGGTAGTACATTAAAATATAGTTCGTAGTCTTTTTTAATTTAGCGTATGAATTTTGCATTTTAAGTTTATTTTTGATGATATTAATGTATTATCATTCAAATGTATTTGCAGTCTATTTAATTATTTTTTAGTATTCTGCATTTTTAATTTTGTTTCATGATTTTAGGTTTTTTCGATGGCGAATTTCGTACGGATTTTGTTGAGGTTTGGTGGGTTGGTTGCTATAAAGATGTGTTTACGATGTAATGGCTCGGTAACTTCGGTTAAGTGTTAAACCGTTGTAATACAGTAGTATAATATTACGAATACCGTATGATACTACCATTATCATTTTATTATACTATTATGAGATTATTAATGTACTAGAGTTTTTTAACTCGACATATTGGTTTGATTGTGTTATGATGTGTTTTATGTATTTTATCAAAACCCTAGATTGAAATTATGAGATTATTAATGTACTATTTTATTGGTTATGTGGAATACTTTACGTTGGTGTTGTTTTCAATGTTCTTGTCATTTCAGTGGTATATTGTTTGTAACACAATTTCATATCAATACTTTAACCGTAATATACTATCATAGCAGATTAATGTACTATATTGAAATTATTAATATACTATGTGGTTGAATAATACGGGATCCATAGTCTATTAACGAGATCTATAGTCGAATTAGATCAATAAGATAGTCTATTACATGATATAAGGAAAATTACCCTAATTGATTAGTATAACAAACATATTATTCAGTTTCCATATATATTATTATTTTTTGCATATATATTATTATTTACCCTAATCGTTTTCATATAATAAGGAAAATTACCCTCATTGATTAGTATTTCAAACAAACATA